GCCCGAAAGTTGTCCTTGTAAATAAGCGAAACCACTCACTAATAATGACGTCAAATCATTACTTTAAAGGTTATGGCAATTTTATTTGTTTGGCGATATTTTTTACGATATACTGTGCATATTCAAGTAATAAAACTTCGAAACCATCCTTTTTAAACTAAGTTTATGCATGAGTTTACCTTACAATTAACAAACTTCTGCATCCAAGATGATGAGAGAAAAGAGTGTAGGCCTTGTAATATACATTTGCCCGCACCGCGCAGAGCGGATGGAGAGTTGGGTACCGGAACCTCATCGGCTATTCACAGACGATAGTGAGCGCGCACCTGCTTTAGACCATTTTTGTAAACTTATGGAATCATTTCTGGCTAAAACATAATCTGCATGCTAAAAACAATTGAATCTTGGACGGGAAATTTGAGCAAATGGGACCGCCTACAGCCCCTCGCGATAACCGCTCGTCTATGCCGATATTTAGGGCACGGCGCGGGTAATCAGGTTTAAGATTATAGCTTGACCATAGAAACGCAAAGAAAAATCACAAAATTATACTCAAGCATGTTTCAAGGTCCAACAATTCATTTCGCCGCTAATCAAAGCTTTGAACACTTCGCGACTAATTGACTCCTCAAATTACTCCTTGAACATTCATGGAAGAAAGCAAATTGTTGAAGTAGGAAGAGAAGGATGACCTTGGCGATGTGTATTTGTGATGTAGCTTTCCCTTATTGTGGAGCGTCCTTGCATGAGCTCAATATTTTATTTTCATTTCGCTTTTGTTTCCACCGCAGGTGGTGTATCAACTATGCACATAATTATTAGATGAACCGAAAGTTATTAGATGATTATTAGAGATTATTAGATGAACCGAAAGTTCTGTCGTTTCATTTTCAAAAATTTGTAACTTTGCGCTGTTTCAACGGATCTGCTTGTCTGTAAATTTATTAGAAAGAATAAGTCCTTCGCTTTTAAACGCTGTTTTGCGGAGCTTCTGTTTCAATTGGGTGTGGAGATAAAAATGGGAAATAAGACCGTGTAAATTGACCTTTGACCATTTTAAGTTAGGTCACCAAAAATCTGGAATGCTGAAGAAAAATCTGAAATCGTCAGCACATATGTTTTTTGGCCTACTCTTTGCAATTGTGCCGAGTTTGTGCTGTTTGGACGTCTTTATGAGAAGTTATGAATATCGAGTTTACTATGGAAAACGCCAAAATTAATTAATTTGTCAATTTTCGCGAAAATCATAACTTCTCAATGAAATGATGGTCACGGCGGAAGAAGAAAGAAAGTCGATTCTTCCGCCGTGACCATCATTTCCGATGCGGAAACTCGCATAGTGGTGATCTGTCGGCCTCTGAGGAAGACGAAGGCGTCGAAACGTTAGGCCTCGATTGGATTAATAAAGATCACCTAACAAACCTGTTTGGCACAGAATACTTTGTCAATACGAACAATTTTGAAAATTAATCATCTACAGGGAGTTCATCTTCTACACGTCCCTCGACTGGTCGGTCATTTTGACGACTCTTCCCCACCCTACCGGACGTCGAACCCCTTGATCCAGGAAGCCCGGAACAGAAGGATCAAGTATGTTCCACCCCAACACCCCAACAACGACTGTTTACACATTGGAACATTCAACGTGAGACGCCTGCCAAACGAAGTCTAACTACATAAACTGCAAGAAGCCCTGAAGAAACACGACTCGATAAATTGGCCATAACGAGATGGAGAGACGAATTTCAGAAGAAGCTTGGCACTTGCAATTGGCAAAGAGTAAGATCACTCATGTTAAAAGAATGGATCGGTTTGTTTGGGTACCGCATATTGTAATAATATGAAAGGCAAATAAATCAAATCAAATCAAATCATCTACAAGAATGAACAAGTCGCCTGTACATTTTTATAACCCATGAAAGTAAGCTCCCTCCTTGGTCAGCCACTGTTAGACATCTCAGACCTGGGTGAACGAGCTTCTTATACGACTGTATACACAAGGACGCGGTAACACAACTATGCATGACAAACATAGTAGCAAACAAGATATTGTAAAAAGGGTGAAGTACATCAAAGGAGGTGGTATGAACCTGAAAGCAAGCCATGAGTTCAACAATATTGCAGGACGGGAAACACGGATGATAACTAACTGACGATGAAAATGCTAATTTTTAGGCGCGACAGTAATAAACGGATTTAGTGTAAAAATAACACTTGAAGTTACAAAGTTGTAATCCGCATGTCAACACAATCCCGTACGCCCTTCGTAGTGCCTGCACATGGGATGCAGGTGCCATCCAACATGAATCTCCAGTCACTTTAAATTAGCAACAACAACATTTAGGCATGTTTGACTGAAAGTGGCTTCTCTTCATTTTTGAAGTTTAAAAAAAACGTCAATCATGACTTTCATCCTTTATTGTATCAAAAACTATGCTATCAGTAAATTATCTTGATAGTCATTAGGCTCCTACGCATCTCTATTGGGTACCAGAGCTATTCAAGAACCGGAGTTTTGAGACATTCAGCTGATAGAGTGTAGGCTGTATCATCCAAGATAGGTCTCGCGCCGGCATGCCTTGCGACGTCAGGTTGTCGTTGTTGTAGTCTAGTCCTTAATCTTGGTCCTTCGTTTGGGTGTAGAACCGAAAACAGTGGAATACCAGCAATCAGTTAGCTGATTGGAATGACAATGCATCGAACGATTACGGTGATCACATACGCACTCGATTTTGGAAACGTACCAGTTGCCAGGCATCAAAAAGCTTTATGAGAAACAGGCGGGAAAACGCATGAGAACAGAATCTAATTATAACAACAAACCCCAGAGTTCGATTCGCTACAAGTAAACGATACAACAATAGATAATTCTCACACACTTACAAATGACTCCCCAACATTCATATTCGTGCTCTAGCCTCGGGCAGATATTACACGATTTCATCGCTGCGACTTCCAACAGAACACACAGATACGAGTCTATTGCATGCCGATCATCTTGGTTGTAATAGGTCTCTAACACGACCAATCGTGACTAATTATCACAACCGGTATGCAAAATGATCGGAATGCGATGGACGCGTAACTGCTTGTCTCGTTGAAAGAATCGCGGCGATGAAATCGCGGAACTCTGCCCGAGGTCTGACGCATAGCACTGTTCGCGCGTCATACCCAACGTTGCTAATTGCCGCAGACGCGACGTCAATAACCGATGCCATTTGATACAGCCTATACGACGCCACGCACAAATCATTATGCGATATGTACTGCACTCAAATGTAGCCCACTAGCTTGTACACGTGAAGTCGCTGCTGCATAAAATAGTATATTATCGACACCCTCTTCATCCAGGGAGCAGGTTCAAATAATATGTGTCGCGTCTCGCGATGCGCTCCTGTCTTTTTTTGTGAGAACAGTTGAGCCGGAAGTTCTTCATTGGAAAATGGATTCTCTTTGTTAGCGCATTCAGACGCGCCGTTGTACTTATCGAAATCGCATGTCAAGTTGGAATTCTAACATCTATAGGAGCTGGAGGGGACGTGCCGTCGTCTACACCTTGGCGTTGCGCGGTGGATTTGTTGCGCGAAACCTCGGGAGCCACTTGTATTCTAGATTACTTCCCCAGGCGCGCATCGGTAGCATGGGACGGGCCCTCCTCCCGTGTTTCTGTAGTAGTAGTGTAGTAATTTGTTTTTGGTTTAGTATTTTTTGTCTATTTTTAATTGTAGTGTAGTGTCATAAGGATAAACCACTTAATCAATCCTAAGTTTATTTCGGTCGCGCGTTAGGCGCTCAGTAGGATATGTACGTCGCTTAGTTCGGGCGAGCATCAGGCCTCGGGCTACATCTAGGTGCCATGAGCCCATCGAGTCGCCACAATATGAGAGACTTGAAAGTTGTTTACTACACTGCCTGTCGGTGTGTAGCATTGTGCCAAAACATTTGCGTTTGTTCCAATTGAGAACATTGGCATGGTCGAGTCGTCGACCGTACGCCATAGATTGCGGAGCAAGCGCAGCGCAGCTAAAAGCACTCTGTACAATAGCGATTTGTACAGTCGAGCAGATTTTACCAATATGGTGTGCTTGTGGTGCCGAGAAAATGCGAAAATTTGCGCATGAACAAATAGCTGCCGTGACGCCGGCCACTTGCATGCGCAGAAAGCCGGCTGCCGGCATTACTGAAGGACTATTCAATTACACGCAGATTTTACCGCATTTTTTCTACTTGACTGTATTGGTACAAGCGTTTGACCCGGCGGGTGCTCCGCAATCCAAGGCCAATCCGTACGGTAAACGACTCGCCGGTATATATTGCGCGCATCAGCGCCAAATTTGCTCTGCGTTTGCACACGCAGAGCTGCCGAGAGACCGCAGAAAATGAGTAAGGAGCAGACAAGTCCTATCACGGTTTCCTATAGCAAAAGACGCAATTTTGTGGCAATGCGGTCGCGCATCGTGCCAATGTCGGCCGAATTCGGAATGGTACAGACTGTAGCTGAACACCCAAGAAATTGGAAATTACTAATATTTGCATTACGCTAAGAGTGGGAGAATGGATAAAATGCGACCTTCGTATTTTTTGATAGTGCATAAAATGACAGCATTTCATAAACATAGAAATAATTTGATTCTGTACTCTTCGTAAACAGTCCGACTTTACTAAAATTAACACACGCTTTTCCACGACGCTTCACAAATAAACAAAAATTCTGGATTTTTGATCATCAACAAATTCTGAGCAGATTACCACGATACATGGCATATCGAAGTAGTTTGTATAAAAGGCACTAAATGTAAAAAAACAAGAGCGCTAGCATGGAAATGTTGTCGACACGAACTGTTTTGTTGCTCGGTGAGAGTGCAGTAAATTCAACTTTGTGTTCTTTAGTGATTTTTACGTAATTTTGTGATTTGTCACTATCTAACACTATTTCAGTTCTCACGAAATCAGCAGTGGCTCTCGTTCCTTATGGTAAAACGAAAAATGAGTTTTGAGAGATGAATGGGAGAATCATTTTATTTACAGAGTTCTATTACGACTATTCCGGATCTGGCTCTGGTTCTGGTTTTTGGGAGGGTACGTTGCAATATAGATTTCTACGGTTTTCTGAAATAAATTTTTAGGAACTGGATATTCCGGTTCTGGATCTGGCACTTGGAAAGGTGATCGCTTTCTAACCAATCCATGAAATTAACAATAGTTATATTATCATTGCAGAAGGATCCGCCTACTCCGGCTCTGGTTCAGGATCTGGAGAATGGGAAGAAGAAGGTAATGAGAATGTTTACCCGATTTAACATTCTTCATAAATGAACTGATGAAGGATCCGGTGGCTCTGGATCTGGTGATGACATAATTCCATGCGAGGCGCTGTATTGCCCTCCGGGAACTTACTGTGAACAGGGAAGAAGAGTATGTCCATTTGCACCACCTTGTTATACAACCCCGACACAATGCATGATATCTGGTGAGTAACCGGGGATGATGAATCTCTGAGTTTTTCCTTCTGTTGATGGGAAATGTGCCTTTTAGGCCCATGTGGAATAAGCTACCCAGCTTCTGGTGAGGAGCCGGGGTCCGGCGAAGATGGTTCAGGATCAGGTTTGCGAGTGGTATGGAAATACAGAAATTATCCCAAAAGTTTTTCAGGTCAATGCCCTTCGGATCTCCAATACACAAACTGTGGAAACGTATGCTTTGAAGATTGTACAACTGTGAGCGTCTTATTAACAAGACTGATGGTGGCGGTAGCAAAGACAATTTTTTTTGGGGAGGGGGGGGGGAGGAGAGGATGTGCTCGAAGAAATTTTCTCTGCAACGCTTGTTATTTTTTCTACCTGTAAGACTAGGTTTCCAAACAAATGAGCTGGGCAGCCGCCACGCTCCACAAAATATCTCACAAAGCTAATTGGAATTTTTGCAAAGTGTAGTTCCATTCGCAAATATTAGCAAGATTAACATTAATTTGCAACTATAATACTTGAGAAAAAAAAATTTTGCGCTCTGTTCTGGGGAGGGATAAGGGGCCATTCGTCCGCTATTGATGGTTGGATATACGGTAATGCGGTAGTTTAGGTAAATGAACCCACTCTACTATAACTTTTTTCGGGTAAACTAAGGTATAGGCTGTCCGCGCAGGGGACGGAGAGCGCGCAAGGTGTGTATTGCGCGTCACTCCTCTTTCCCCGTGCACTCTCGCCGCCTGTTTTCTTTGCGCTTCTTCCAGTCATGAACTATTTTTAATGGACGCAACAGCGTTGCTCTCCGTGCGCAGCGCGGACGGCCTATATCTTGCTTATACAAAAATCAATGCATAGTGAAAAGTTTTTCACACCGTAAAAATTATTTACATACAAGCAAAATTACTACAAAATTTAGGACCTCAACTACATTTGCGTCAGGGAAGCAAGATGTCTTTGCAAGACAGATCAAGCTCTATATATCAAAAACGACAGGAGTGCTTCATGCGTGCCGCGCCAGCAGTGCCCATGTGCACAGGCATAATTCTGTTACAACATAATAATCGTCAGCTACTGCTATGTGTATGATAACGCCTCGAATAGTGATTAATGTAATCACGTGCATAAAGTGAGAATCTTTGCCATCCTGGGTTATCTTATTGCTATGATTTTCAATAGACCAAATAAATGAGACTCTTTATGTCAACATTATTGTAGAGCAAATTCAGACAAAAATAAGGTGGGAAAGTCAACAACATGATTACGAAGAGAGTTTGAGTTTCTAACTTGATTTGTCGGTAGCGAGTAAGACTGTCAAAAACATTGAGATATCAAAGTATGCACATTTTCAAGGACGATGTGCGAACGTCCAAAAGAAAAGATAACAGAAAAATTAAGATATGAACTGAGTAGCAGACAAAAAAAAGAGAAGTAATGAAATTTGATGTGTTCACCTATAACAAAGATGTACAAGTATTAAATTATATCAGTATATCCATTGTCGTCTCGTAAGTTCGGACACATACGGTGTTACAATCCATCTAGTGGAAAAGTAGAACAACAAGCCAGCAAAGATCGAAATTGGCAACGCAGGTAGCGCTCGACGGAAAACAGCAAGGAGAACAAGAGTAAAGCAAAGTCCAACCAAAATCGCAACGTAACATGCAACCGTAGTGTTCCAGTCAAAATAAGAACTTGCTTTCCCGACCAAAACAGAATAGAAAATAAAATCACCAAGTCCAAGTTTCACGCCTTCTGAAAAAAGACCGCAAATAAGCTCACTGATTTGGTTAGACACCAAGTATTGAAAGAACATAAATGACGAAACACAAGACTGCAACACTCACTTTCGTCTTGATCTCGTCTAACAAGGTTCGGTTGGATTCTCGTATTGTACGCCGTCCGAGGTGCTTCGTTCAAAGATCTAACCGCCTCTTGCGACCTGCATGACACATGCATGAAATCTTGCAAATTTTAAGCATAATAAACACGTACATGTCACCAGGAACCTTTTCTGGTTTCTGACTTCGCTGCGGAGCATACCGCTTAACACGCGCCGCGGATCCTCCGCTAGTCACCAAAAGCCCACTAGTAGAAGGAGTCGACTCCTCGGAAGAACTAACTGCTAAAAAAATACTATGAGGAACAAGAACAGCACCGGAGAGGGTAAGTCAAATAAACTTCCACGCTAAGCTTACCGGGTGGCTGCACTTGTGCACCATCTTCCTCAACTTCCAGGGTGCCAGCGAATACAAACGAATACATTATGCCCGCTGAACAAAACAAAATTTTCCTGCTTTATTATTACCGATTTGAACTACTTGTTGGAATAATCAAAAAAAGACGAGTACATGATAAAATTACACAAAAAAAAAAACAGAAAAAAGACAGCAAAGCCCGATATTTCAAGATAAACAAGTTGTAATTGAGAGTAGTCCTAAAGTTACCGTATTCCAACCAGAAACTCACATGAATAAATTAAAGCCGGAAAGATGGGCTCATTTCGTTCCTGCGCGGTCTCTACTAATATCCTCAGTGGACCCTATAACAGTACTAGCCGACAATCTTTTCAATTTGCGAGCTATAAACACGTACATTAGGAGCAAGAACAGCAATCAGATCCCAGATTGAAATCACAGCCAGTACAGACCACACCGTCCACTCTGGTAGATATTTTATGAACACAAGAGCCATCAAAGCCGACATAGATATCAGATAAAACTGAAGTGGAACACTCACAAGCAACTTTGAAAAAAGAAAAGAAAAAAAGGACTCAAAAGTGGCAATTTCAAAACCCACCTGCTGCAGCCTCAGGGGCCCTTTCCAATGTATGCACATCATTCCGACAACGCCAAAATTGATGAGACAAAAACAAACAGTGAAAACTGACAAGGATATATTGAAACTTTTCATGACTTCTCTGAAAAAAGATAAAGTTATGCATTGTATCCGTGGAATTTTAGCGATAGAAATTTTATAAAATGAAAAAAAGTACACTGATTAAGAACCTACTGTATGTAGATAGTCGAGAACAAGAACAACAATAAGCAACTACTGGCCATTAACCATCCGTGGATGACCTGAATTTGAACTGTAACTCTAAAAACCAAATGGTAATAACCCAAACCTTATAGCATCTATACTTGTAAAACAGGATAAGTATGACCGTCATGACTACCACGACGCACAGCATGACAAGCGCATTTCCCAAAGACATTAGTACCTTCTCGCTGGCACTATCTGTTTCTTTTACAAAAGGAGTGTACAACCTGAAATGCGAAACTCGTTCCAAAGGTAACTTTAAATACTTGGAGAAGAAAAAACACGGAACAAGAGCAAAATTAGAATTTTTTGTTATGCTTACAAGTGCCGTCCATCGTTCTGCGAGTAGAATGTAACCGTATTCATAGTGAATACTACCATGACCATACATAATGAAACGGGCACGAAAAGATTGATTACATGTCCAGCTCCATATTTCAATTCGGCTTCCTCCTCTTGTTCTTCGCCTCGCTCTGAAAATAGTAAAATAACAATAGGGTAAAAAAGAACGAAAACATGGCATACGAACCTTGGTTGGCTGAATCCTCAACACTGGTGGACACCGCGGAGCCATAGGAATTTGCCTAAAACCCATACGTCAGAGACATTGCCCAGGTCAATTGGGGGTGATGGGATTTTGACGGCGTGCGGGAGCACGTCTCCTGACTAATACAACAGTTCAAATCCGACTAAAAAAGGTGGATTCTGAAGCAAGAAAATCGCTTCAAAAAAGGGGGCGGTCCGCCAATCCCGCCTCCTTGATAAGTTTTGAGGCTTGAGATATACCTGACGATAGGTCGCTATAGCTGACGAGAAGACGCTGCCAGCAGCAACGCCTTTTGTGCGTATCGATTGACGCCAGGCGACGCTGCTGCTTCTAGCTGCTGCAGCCAACGTGAGACAGACCCGCTATAGCTAGCGATGCTGCGCTGCTCTGCGCTGCTGCTTGCTGCTCCTCGCTGCTCCTCGCTGCTACGCGATATGAAGCTCACTTTTGGTGAGCTTCTCTCAGCTGCTTCATGCTGCTAACGCCGATTTTGCTCGGATTTGCCCCTTTTTAACATATTTTTAAACTTCTAAAGCATTTCTAGAACACTTGTTGCGATACCGAACCTTGACAAATTTGCAAGACCAAAAGTCGACAAAAAACTGAATCTGAACAACTGCACAGAACTATGCGAAGCAAAAATAAAATAAAATTGCAGTAATGATAAAAAGCTAGAGGATCTTGACGATTTAGTGGGATGTTACCAGATACATTTCAATACATTAACGGCAGCTATGACCTAGATAGTTTTGTTGCCTCAAGCACACATCCAGGTTCTACTGCGACACTCGCTTGGATATATGTCAAATGATTATGATTTTCACAGTATATGCAACTTTTGATTTGCCACTTTATGCTTATTATAAAGAAAATTTTTTTTGATGAGGACAGGATGACTTTTGAATCTCATATAATCATATTTTTCAATTTTGGTAGTTCTCAAGACTTATTTTTCCTAATGGCCTAAGCTAAGCGTAGTAATGGGTAAAGCTATTCGCTCTTGCACCCAAAGCGTACCCAGCGCAGCAGCCACGAGCAGCTAAAGGCAGCGCACTCATCAGCGATTCGCCAGCACCGTATATCTCAAGCCTGACGTGGCGAATGCTAGATCCAATGTATTGACCACGTTAAAACTTGTCAAGGAGGCGGGATTGGCGGACTGCCCCTTTTTTCTGGAGCGATTTTCTCGCTTCAGAATCCATCCTTTTTAATCGGACTTGAACTGTTGCATTAGTCAGGAGCCGTGCTCCCGCGCTGCGTCAAAACCCCAGCACCCCTCGGTTGACCTGGACAATGCCTTTAAGCACATTGTAGAGTCCACAAGTTAATGTCACGAACTTGTTGAAAGAATTAGCGGTTTCCCTAAGACATGGTTGTTCACACTTCTTTCAAATCACATTTCCTATCGAAAAAGAATTGTTTCTGTATCAACGTTCTTGACGGATTTAACAGTTTTTGCCGATGTTCCAAAAACTTTGGCATCAGAAAAACATTTGTTTATATACTTGTTAGAACGGCAAGAAATCACTTGGCTATGCCCTAAACGCTTCGCCAAAAATGGAAGCTCCGCCCCAAACGTTCGTCCCGCCCATCCTCTGACTAATCAGCTGAGAGTCGAGAACGCTACGCGCCCGTTGGCTAACATACTTCTTCTCCTCTCACCTAAAGAGATATAAATTCTCCTCCCACTCAAAGAGATATAAAACATCCAAAATGATGTGAAGCGCAAATTTTCAGTTGCAAAGTAATCACGTAGCGTCCTCAAGCGCCTTTATATAAAAATGGCGTATCATACCCAAACAACTTCAGTCTCAATATACCAGCGTTCAAAGAACTGTTATCCAGAATGTGAACATATCAACTTACAGTAGCAGTTGCCACAACTGCTTTAGTCTTCGGAACTGATGTGGCTGTGTTCTGAGGTGCTAAATCGTCAGGAGGTGATGACATCCAAATCAGCAACAGCACCAATTAAAATTAATGTAAACTTCGCAGGGGAATGTGAAGAGGGCGCCACTTCGTGCAATCAATCAGGGCCGCACATTTGACGTGGACAATGGTCAATAGCTGCGTTGCGTTCGCGAGCGCGTTGATGCCTTCAAGGCATCTGCTCGTTTACAAAATATCTGCAAGTAATTTTTGAATCAGCATTCATTAATTAGTGAGTTTTTTGTTTAGCTGTTTCTGTTTGGGAACGGTGAAGTTATCAGGCTAAGGACGTTCAGGTGTAGGAGCAGTTGGTCAAGGGATTAGCAGGAGTGGAGGACTCAATTGAAATTCTCTTTTCCCTTTATTGTCATCTTCTGCTTTCAAATATACGAACGGAATGTAAACTTGCACTACGTGTATATTTCAGCTCGCGAACTGAACTTTATTGGCGTTGAAGGTTAGGCAAATCTGTGTTGGGTTCTTCATGTGGAAACAATTCGAAGGCATTAACCAAGTTATAAGGGCCTTATGATTCATTCGTTGCCAAGATATCTATGGGCTTCGAACTCCCTAGACCGCATTTACATACCATACACAAAGGCGCTGAAGGATCTCCCGATAATGTGGTTGAGCTGGAGTTCAGAGTATGATTTTCCGGCCATGAATGAAACACTTGGGCTGTCGCTTGGGCACTGGCTTTGCTAGGGCTTCCCATGTCCACAAAAGAAGTCCACGTATCGTCCATTCCACGAGCTGCTATATACACTCTTCCACGTCTCTGACCTGCGGCACGCATGGCAACATGTTAGCAAGAACATGTTGCTTGTAGCCTTGAGGTCAACATGTTGTTGGATGTTGCCAACATGTCAGCCAAGCGTGTCACAAATCAGGGACCCGTCATACTTCGCCGAAAAAAAGCCTAAAAGCGCCCAAAAAAGCTCAAAAAAGTCCGAAAAAGCCCAAAAAAGTCCGAAAAAGCTCAAAAAAGCCCGAACAAGCCGGAAAGCGCCAGAAAGAGCCGAAACGTAGAAACGAACTTTTGATAGAATTCCGACATTATTTTGTCGTGCAGACGACAGAAGATGACAAAAAGACTCAATTGCGAAATTAACATACATGTCTTAACGCCAAAACGTGCGAGAAGTGTTCCGGCTCTTTCTGGCGCTTTTGGGCTTTTTGGGGCTTTTTTGGGCTTTTTCGGGCTTTTTTGGGCTTTTTCGGGCTTCTTTGGGCTTTTTTCGGCGAAGTATGACGGGTCCCTGAGAGACGCAGAGCAGAGTAGCACTAATTGAGTGCTTTGTGATTTGCTACAACTGTTCTGCGTCTCTGTTTTGGTGCGTACTTGAACATGTGGCAACATGCAACAACGTGTCAGCAACATGCAACATCGTGTCAGCAGCATGCAACAGCATGTTAGCAACATGCACAACATGTTGGCCGTGGGCTAAAGTCAGTACCTTGTTGCGAACACGTTGTTGCATGGCGTGCGCCTCATCACTGACAAATTTCTTTGACACACTACTCTTACTCCCTTTGATCCGCTTATCCACTTCGTTATTGCTCAAATCGGTGAACTGACCAATAGCGAAGCGGGTGTCAAATTGATCCACTTTGTCTACTTCAGTGATTTGCCCAATAGCGATGTGGATAAAGTGGATCAAGCGGGTCAAGATGGCATGTGCCTTTGCGAAGCGGGTGCAGCATTCGAGCATCCTTCACATCATAGCTCTTAGCTGCACATGCTCGTTCATATGAGGACTGTCTTTGTTTGAGGCTGCCTTTATCATCACTCGAACCAAAGCATTTCACTCACAAACGCCCATACATCAAACTTTTCATGAGTAGTCTTCTTATATCTTTGCTGTGTTTCATATTTTAATTCTTCGCATTCAGTTTTCAATCCACTCTGAGCTAAACTTGCTCTACTTGCAGGTCATTGGCGATCACTGATACTTTACTAAAACCGCCAGACACTTTCCAAATGTCGGACAACGAACCGCAGTCCCAGCCGGTATGTTTTCGCGGTCTTAGAAGGGAACAAAGAATTTTGTCTGGAATTTCTTTTTCTCTCGAAGTCGAGGAACATTGACTTTTGCTCCACTTAGGCGCTGCCCAGCACTTTCTTGAAATGTTTCAAACACACTGAGGGTTGATGTATCTTTCACCATTCTTGAAGAATATCTTAAGCATAGTTGTGAAGTTTTGGTCATTTATGAAGTGATAAGAAAGCGTTTTTTGTTACTTTTGATGAGAAAAACGTCTTGCGTCAAGGATGAAAATGACCTTTTGCTAGACTGGATTCTGGCAGAATAGCGATTAGAATGTAGTGTTATGCTTACAATGTCTATGTAGACCTTTCAGAAGATTAGGAATCTACTAGTTCTGTCGTAAGAACTAAAAGAGTTCAACTTTGACATTAGTGCACATCTTTGCATTCATTGCGTTATTTAGGACTCAACGTCCGAGCCTTCACCCCACAGCTCTCATATGAAGACGATAACACCAGCTCCTGTGCCAAAAAGTAAAGTTGTATTACGTTTTGTTGTCTTATGATTATTTCATATCTTTGCAGCGTACATTCGCATGCCAAAGAGAGGAATTCCGCCAAATCCTATGCCTGAGAACTATGTCCGTGTAAGTATATTGTCAGCACATTTTTTTGTATAACACTCTGCCTTACAAATTTCTTTTTTTTGCAGCTGGACCAGATCACTGATGAGCTATATGATATGTTTTGTAAGGAAGTCATCGATGAGGTTGAGCAAGAATGCGGTCCTCAAGAACGAAAATTGTTAGACAACATGTGTTCTTCAGGAGATTTTGGGGTATGTTTCCTCATATTCCGCGTCATCCTTTCTATGCTTGCGCTACTCCTAGGCAGCTGTGGACTTTTATGATGAGATACTGGGGGAGCTGCCGGTTGTGATGGTTCACATGAGAACGTCCAAAGTGTTTTTGTCACCATCACTGAGGTTCTCCACAACCAGGGCCTTCATATCTCATGAAAAGTGTTTATTTATAGGGAGAAGTGCATTGAGAAAGTTATTGCCGTGAAGAAAACTGAGTCAAGTCCCATCTGTGCCGCTCTCGCACATATTCAACAGCTTTTTGTCGGATTCCCGCCAGAGATTCGGGTGTGTACTTTTCTACATTTTTCCCCTTGCTCCTTCTTCTTCAATTGGGGCCTTTTCTAAACAGAAAAGATTAGTTTGAAGAATTGAAACAAGATTTGTGATCAGTGTACTTTTTCCTGTCAGTCAAGTCTTTCCCATTTTCCATTTTTGTACCTTCAGCTACGCCACTTGTTAGTTGCCGAGCTGGAAAGACAGGAGCCTGGTACTTTATCCGAGGATGACAAGCGACTGATGGCACTTCCTCCCTCAGCTCGCTTCACTGCAAGACCGGTAAGCATAATAAAACCAGCCCTTACTTTATTACGGATGACTCCGCAAAGTTAGTCTTTTCGCGATGACATGATTCGCAAGATTGCGTGTTGCAAGAGAATTTATTTTCGTTCAGTACTCGTCGGTTTAGGGATTACTTCTTCGCCGTTGCAATGCTCTTCCAAGTCCAGGTGCAGTTGCGCGAAGGACGTCTAATAGGTTGTGTCATTGATGAATTATTTATATGTTTTTGTTACTTGATTCTGGCTACCTCATTTACAATAGCTATGAAGTATCTGGCGAGCAGAAAATTTTTGGGGGTTCATTTCTTATTCTTATGCTCGAGTAATTCTGTGGTTTGCAGAATAGCCAAGATCAAAGAGAATGCTGATTCCAAAGCTGACATCGTCACTAACTCTACAAATACACAATCTCCTGCGCCTGCAGGCAAATTGCCCCCCAAAGTGAAACGTGAGTTTCTTCCCCTTTAACTATTCACGTTTGAGCGGGGAATGTATCATCTCTCTCTCTCTGTTAAAAACAACTTTCTGCAGCTTTGCTTATCAACCTATTGGTTCCACTTGAAGACCGAATCTATGATAAAATCGCCGATGTTCTTGCTGAGAGAATCACGCTAGAAAGCGTAAGATTGATCTTATAAGTAGGCAGCGTTTAGAACAACCAAAGTTTTCAGGTTGAGGATGAATCTTTACGGGTTGCCATTGAAAATATACGAGATAGCGGAGAGATTATGGTGGAGGAGTGGTTAGAAGAACAATTCTTCTGTCCACCTGGATTGCGTTTACGCGCTAATGATGACATCGGAAGGATTTATCTTAGGAAAAGCGAAGTGTCAGAGGTGGCATTTCAGTTTCCTATGATTAACACATTCATCATCCTTCTTGTTAGGTATGGCGGATGTGTTACGCTACACTAAGTGAGCGACCTCAATGTGAAATTTTGAACGCCGTTGATGCACAGTACGTCGGGATAGCAACTAAAGCAAACGTAAAGTTTTTTTCCCATACATAGAAGTTCATTTGTTCTAATTAATTTGAATCATTTAGCTGAAAGAAGTTTCAAAATATGACTTACTGAAAGGAGCTCGAGTAGTGTTTCCAACACCGCCAAGATCCATCGGGAGAAAACCCATGCAATACGTGCAGGTATGCTCTTTTCTTATTTCCATAGTGTTTTCTTTTGATTCGGTTCACATTGAATAGTGTGCTTGCAATATGCAGAAAGAGCAATAACAGTAAATCACTACGCACTCCAATGCCATAGTATCAGTGTTTTTTCAAGTATACGCTTTTTTCTAGAGCTCTTGTCGGACTAGGCTGGTAAGGTATCGCATTAGATTGAATTTGGTAAATAATTTCTATCACATAGCTTCGATAACCCGTTTACTAGTCGAGAGAAAATTTCAGAAGTGCTATATATGTGTAATCCTTTTTATTTTTTGTCCCACCTCCATTCTTGTAAGGTTCTTGAGATAGAAAACTCACGATTCTAGATTGACATCCTGCTTATGGAGGAAACTGTTTATGGTGAACGATCTTACAGTCAAGCGCTGTTCTTAACGGATCTGTACTCTGGCTACTGCTTTGCTAGAGCACTGACTGACTGTCCTGATCTGGCTATAATTGTACGGCACGTTATGGACATCTTTGGATCTTTTGGACCACCTGGTATATCCTTTTTTCCTTCTGCAATGACACTTTTGTGATTTTTTGGTTTATTCCAGAGGCATACCGAACTTATTCACTCGATTACACCCAAGTCATTGCCGATGTCATGAGTGATATTGAACGCCTATTCAAAATCTCCATCAAAAACATGGGTGTTGGGGTAAGATTTGTCTTTTGTTGGATCATTTTGATTTTTGTTATCATCTATTCTTTTTTAGGGAAACCTCACCCGTGACCTTGTTAATGCACTGTACAAACGAGCAGCAACGGAGCTACAGGCTACGAATCGTTGGGTTGAAGCGCTGCCATTCGCTGTTATCGAACAAAATCAACGTCCATCAAAGTTTTTTGACCCGACACGGACTCCATTTGAGGTCATTTTTATTTGAAACCATCGTTTTGATGTTACTGGAATTGTATCATAAGTGTATTCAAGTTCAATCGGGAAGAAGTTTTCTACTAACTCGAGAGTTCACAGTGTCATCACCTTTTCTACTTCTCACTCCCTCATATGTCCATCCCTCTTATGAAACAATATTCAGATAATGTTTGGGCGGCACGCTTGGAGAGATGAAGGTTGTCCGCCATGGGTCAATCCTCCAGCGGGTAAGTCCACTCTTCTCGGTGCCCTTCTTCACTGTTTGAGAGATGTTTTGCAAATTTTTATGGCATCGTGTAGCCCGCTTTTTGCTAGTCGTATGTTTTTGATCTACTCGTATCTACTCTTGCCCTCTCAGATGATGACGGCAGTGAGCAGTTGCGTAAATCAGGGAAGAAAATCAAGAGACATTTTGCGGTAAGACTAGCAGAAGAGCTCAAGTGCTTCTAGAAAATGCTATACTCAAACGGTATCCTAGGAAGAAGGAGAGGAGTTTGAAACAACGCAGTTGGATACTGTGAGGGATCTGAAAATGTATGCGAATTCGCTAGTTGAGAGCAGGAAAAGGGTGAGTAGGCATTTGATGTATTTTTTGCTACCTTCATATGTTTCAGCTTTTTTTTGTTGTTGTTTTTTCACTTTTTTCTTTCTTTGGTAGTATAGCAGTCTTTGTTTGTTATATGTTATACAAAAATTTGAGAATCGAACTTAATTTGGCATCAGTTTTGAGTCACCTTTCAGATCAAGAATACAGCGGCGCCTGTTTACGTCCCGGTGTTCAGTGATGAAGGTAAACTGATGAATCCAGGAACCGGTTACATGTTCCAAATCTTCGATCGGGTCTATGTAAGTGTTTGTACATTTCTTTTTCTTTTATCAGGATCTCTAATAGTTTAGGTACGTAATCCACACTTTCAATATGACTGTAGGTCATCAAAACAACGTCCACATATCGCTCGATATTATCGAGGCATCATCGTTGATATAGATGAAGACTTAGTTGATTCCATGTATAAGGTCTGAGCTACTTCTGGGTCAAGAACTCTGCCAACTGAGAATCAGAGATTTTGTAGATACTGTACTGGGAGGATGACCCACACGATATCGATGCTATGAGCTCTTCCCAGTGGCCAGCTGCTGATGACAGTGAGTTCTTGCGAGATGCTGATTTACTTACGAGTGATCTCTTTCAGCTTACGATTGTACTTCCTCATGGTTTGGCCCATGGGATGTCACTGCATCAACAGCACATCTAGCGAAGTTACGTACCGTACCAGGTAGGCTTTGAACGAATTCTGCTTGTGTTATAAGCTCTGCGCTTATTTCAGTGGAGTATTCCGCAGAAACTATTGCGTGCAAGCGGCGAACAATTGATGCGCGTTGCCGATGTGATAGTCCTGGTTGTGTAGGCTTTGCTAACTCACGATGTCCAAGAAACTTCTCTGCCGAATGTTGCATGAAGGTTGTTGTGAGCGTGATATTTTCGTCTTCTGCATCTTATCTTTTTTTTCAGAATTCATACGATTGCTGCTATCACAGGAGAGGCGAAAGACATTTTGAGGTGAGTTCTTTTCTCTGATAATCCTTTTCCATAATTTCATTCTTGCAATATTTTTTGATTTAATTCTATTGAGACTTTGCAATGGAGTTTGCAGGCATTTTTTAACGTCAATGTCTGTTTATTATTGCGGGAGTTAAAAAGCTTTGTTTAGCTGAAGCAAGGAGCTTTGTGTAAACTGGAGTTACATTTTTCCTATAGTTTGGGTGGCTACCGTATCCTCGCAAAGTGAAGCGGAATGCTTGAAATGATGTTGTAATTGAAGCCTGAACGCTTTCTTTTTGCATTGCGCAGGCGAGGAGCGATGATGCCATTCTTGCTTATAAAGAATGCTGACGCTCGTACGATTCGTGACACTTTACTGTCGAATAAGTAATTCTAGCTTGATCATCGTCGCACTCCGGACGCCCGGTTTAATGTGTATTCGCATCAGCGGACGCGAGCACCCAACACCTCCGCGCCAGCTTTTCATGTCAAGGTGGAAAATCTTGCATCGAGGTAATCCCATATTGAAATTGTTTATAGATTGCAATCGTCCAATTTTAGCTCTGAATCATCGCCATACGAATATGAAATGGATTCGCAAAAAAGGTCAGTTGATCTTTTGTTATTTATTTTGCGGTACTTTTCCGTTATCCGATCCATTTTTCGAAGAAGGATTTTGCTTCTTCCCTTGCACCATATCTGGCTTTACAGGAGGGAATGTCAAACTTTCTGCCACTTGTCAAAAAATTTTAGTATGTCATTTACATGTTTAATACATTTAACCCAGAGTTTGATTTGCTCTACCTTGCGACGTAAGTTCAATCTGTTTTTTAGTCTTAGTGGCCCCATTTTCGATTGAACAGTGTCAAACATGAACAATGTTATCGTAATAACGTCATTTTGTTATTGATGAACAGATTGAACTTTCCCATAATAGAGAAATGGGCTAGGTTCTTATCATCTAAGTGACGAAACAAGCAGTAGCGAGGGACTTGAAGCCATCATTTATAGTCTCGTCTGGCTAAAGTTGCAAGGGAAAAGTTTGAAGAGAAGAGCAATGCTAAAACATAGCTAAAAACGATCAAGATGTTATAGTATAAGTTCTAGATTGTTTTCCTTATATAGAAAACAATTAAACAGGTTTTAGGTTATCACAAATGCTCTTTTACCTCACCGGAAATGATTTCGAAAAGAAAACATGTCAAAATGGACCAAAACCTGTCAATATTTTCCCGACACGTGGCAGGAAGGCAGTTTTCATGGAATCAACTAGAAAACGTAGTTTATGAGAGCTTTGAAAGAATGGGTCCGCATAACGGAAAAGTACCTATTTTGCTCAAGGTATTCAAATAGAATTGATTCAGTAGCGCGCGATCCTCACTAAGCTCTTCACAGGCGCAACCGGAGAAGCGGTACACCTTTAGGTTTGTTAGTGATGGCTTCTGTCTTCGCAGTCATTGTGAGAGTTTGGTTTTTTGCAGAGATGGAATTCTCGTAGAAGTTTCCGATCTGGATTTGGAAGCACCACCACGAAAGGGTGCACCACCGGTGATCAGAAAAAGGCGAATAACTGATTCGCATGAGGTACGGTGACACTTATTGCGGGATCTTGATTTTTCTATGGTTATACTATACTAGATGGCAAACCCGGCTCCGCCCGGGGCCAAACTTTGCACACATACACTTCGGGGCAGGGAGCGTGTCATAGTCCACTTTTCGTTATCGATCGATGTCGATTTCACCGATTTTTTGCAAATTTTGAGCTACGGGGCTGGGATTTTGCACAGGGGGGTAATCGAACATGCTGATCACCCACACGGGGGTGATCAGCATGCTCGATTACCCCCCTGTGCCAACTCCCAGCCCCGTAGCTCAAAATTTGCAAAAAATCGGTGAAATCGACATCGATCGATAACGAAAAGTGGACTATGACACGCTCCCTGTCCCGAAGTATATGTGTGCCAAGTTTGGTCCCGATCGGTTCAGAAATAAAAATTTCTATTCCGCACATACGTACAGACAGACAGACAGACATACAGACAGACAGACACACATTCAGCTTTATATATAAGATGGACGCATTGCGTCTTCTTCTTATCATTTATTCATAGGTTGTGGTGCCATCCTCTCGATCGCGGGATTCTTGGTCTGCCGAGAGAGATGCCGAGTCTACAACTTCGCAAGAGACGCATCATGTTCATTTTGCTGATCCCGATCCAGAATCTGCCACCCCTAGTCCGACACCTTCTGCATGCTATGAAGTGGAGATCAGCCCTGGCGATTCATCACAAACAGTGTCTCACGAAGTGGTCTCATCAGTCTCTCAAGACACTCCTCGACCCAGGAGGGTCTCAGCCCCGCGTCTGCGAGATGATGATGTGGATCATGGCGGTGTGGACTGGGATGTACCAGAGATCTCCCTTCGACCAAGAGTTGTACCACGTCGTGATCATCCATACGAGAGAGCAACTCCTATCTATAGACCTGTGAGCCCAACTGCGAAATTTCTTGCGCTAAACTCAATGGCTCAGCGATTGGAGAAGTCCGCAGAAAAAAGGTACTCGGCTCGTGCGGCTGGAAAGAATGAGAATGGTAAGTTTGGAGTGGTAAAAGATTTTTTCATGCACAAACACTTTATCGTGAAGTTTGTCACTGCAAGAGCAGAATTCGTCAACAATTTTTTTCTATGAAATGTTTATTTAGTGCTTTTCCTACTTTATCACTTTTCGTCCTCAGGTACAAAAGCTGGTTACAAATTGGTGCCAACTTCCAGAGAAGCTACTCACGTGCACCCCTTCGACGCAGAAATGATGGCTGTGAGCTGGTTTTATTTATGTTAGAATTGACTTGCACATTCCATTGATTGCATTGCATCACTACAATATGATGTCTGTTCCTATCGCATGTTGAGCAAACTGGTGGGGCTGTGGCTTACCTACTGTAACGCTTAAGCGTATGCGTTGATGTATTAATGCAATAACTCGCGCACTAAAAACTTCTAAAAATTTAAGGCCCACGCCATACTTGATTTTCTTGATCCTCTTGATCAACTTGATCCACTTCGCTATTGGTCAAACTATTAAACTGCGATGAAGGGAAGCGGATGTCCACTTGATCCGCTTGACCCACTCACTTCGCTCTTGGTCATTTCACTAATTTGACCAACAGCGAAGTGAAGGGAGTCAAGGGGATCAAGTATGCCGTGTTCCTAAGACGTACTTGTGTTGTTTCACAACGACATTTTGAATCATTACACAGACAATAGGTTGCATCTCACGCAGACCATGAGGCTCATGCTTTTTCACCCTCAAAAATTAGTCTGACCGCTGCTTGAGCTATGATAAGTTACCACGACCATGACTCAATCAAGGTATGATCCAGAAACAAATGCATACGTTACGTTCCGAATTTTGTTCCTACGTATTAGTCTTGACTTTTTAGGAAGGTAAAAATGTCACTATGATGGATGATGTCGAACAAGATCCCATTGAACCAGGTATAGCTATTATTACCCCACTTATCTGCAAGTCATAATTTGATTACAGCAACTCAAACTCCGGTTGTTACTTCCACCAGCGTTCCTCGTCGCATTTATGTAGTGGTAAGATTGAACTTTTTTCATGTTTTTTTTTTATCAAACAAGGATTTTTTTTAGAAGGCTACAGTCCCTGAACCTTCCCAAACCACGTCAGAAAGCAGCTCCAAGTGAAACATTAGAGCATGTACCTAATGGTGAGGGAGTTTACTAAGAGCTGTCAGTAGCGATAGAAGTCATGCATTATGTTGTACTTCACTGTGCTATGTAACAAAGCTTATGTTGCCGAAGCGTAATAAAGTAGTTAGAGCACTGCTGTTGATGTAAACTAAATAAACGCTGCTGGTACGCGCATTATTTATACTTGATAGTTTATCATCTGTCATGGTTTCTTGGACGAAAATCGGAATGTAATATCGTGTCAGAGCCGAACTTTTGTGTATTATGTAATGTCACAATTGTGCTAATCGTGCCATTCCATCTATTTCCTGCTTCTTTGCGGTAGTGTTCAGTGAGACACCGAAAGCAAATATTAAAGAGATTTCCCCGATAGCGGAACTTTTACTCATTGGTAATGCTTGAAGGCATGTCTTTGTCCACATCTTATTCAATTTTTTGCGGCTTATAAGTCAGTAAGTGTGCGTACAACCAATGTTGGAGCTAGCCGTACTTTATTTGTTCCTAGTAGTCCGGTGGCCTTCAGGTGTAAGGAATTTCGTCTTTGGGGCAAAAAAAAAAAACATCGCCAAGCACGGTTTGTGAATGTCGTGAAAGTTTCCGAAGTAAAAAATTGGAACTTCATATTTTCGCCTTGACCGCTCTATTGCAAAGCGAGGCTAATGCAAGATTCGATCTCACATTCAAAGCGAGGGGAGAAGAATCCTTAGGTTGTCCGAGTGCGAGTACAGGGCTTATCAAAAGCAGTGTCGGGTGCACGGCATGTGTGCTCCCACGCGCCCGCCTCGCCTGGATTTTGCACCTCTTTCGCAAACATGCTCTCTGATCACTTCCCCACCGCGAGCGTGGCAAAGGCGGAGCCTCAATCGATTGGAAATGATTAGAAAGCATGTTCGCGGAGAAGGTGCAGAGTCTCGCGCAGGAGATGCTGGTGCACCCGACACTGCAAGTGATAAGCCCTGTACGTTGCTGCGCGGGAAATGGACAGCGCAGTTGACAAATTGTGAAAAGTCGACTGCGCCTACATACCTTGATGTTTCAAACATTCCAAAATACTAAAAGATTCTGCTGGATTTATTGCCTGAATTCAAGCGGAAATCTGCTTTTTTCAAACCATAATTTCCGCGGAAATGCTATTGTTTGCAGCTGCCATGCTCTGCTGGTATTCTGCGCGCTAGATAAACTTGTGAATGGAGCATGATTACTACGCGTACACTGTGAATCCACTTTTTCTTCATTTTGTAGCCATGTCTAACATATATGGTGCATTCTCCAGAATTTCTCCCATATGAGCCAGCAATGTGGCTGTTTTTCAATTAGTTTAACATATCAACTTCGAACAAGCGCCTTAAATCTGCTGGAACTAAGTGTGAAAAAGATCGAAGCACGTTGATGTTCCATATGGGAACAATTCTGTGGGATGCATGATATCTAACCGTAGATTTGTTGCCAGCTAGGTCTTATGAAGCCGAATTTAGTCCTCATCTGATATGAGCATCGATGATCCTACGATATGCACTTACGTCATACCTGACGAACTTGCCAAATACTACACTAAGGAAGACCGTGACCAACTTCGACTGGATATTCCTATCCCATTACCCGAATATTCGGATGTTGATGAGTATCTGGCAGTGTTCGGTTCTAGAGGACTCTTCGACTATGTAAATGAAGTGGGTGGGTTAAAACATTTTTAGAACAGAGAAGTTGCCCAATGTCATAACTTCCTACAATCCCTTATCGTAATTTGTCTATGACACATCCACCTCACGTGTTTGCGAAAGCTTGCCTAGTAGGTCCAATTCGAGCATGTAGATACATGATAAAATTCAAAGTGAGTGTACAGTTTTTCTAAGAGTTTGCTTTCAGAACTGCGAAAGGATATGCGCCGTTTCATATATGATGAAACTGTGAGAATCCAAGATGAACGGGAAGATGCTCTGATTCTGAAAGCTCTAGAGACCGGCTTCGAATTGCCTGATATAGATCCAGATCCACATGTGAGATCTTTTCCGTTTTCCTTTTCGCTTTTCTTTTTGATTTCAATTTGACTTGCAGCCGGTTTTGGATCAAGCCGAGGTATTTGCCAACAAGTTCTCTCATATCATGCGTAACTCCCCTTCAGATGAATTGGCAGAACTAATGCGACGGCAGATTGCTATGATGAATGAGGTATGGTATTCGAGACCTAGACAACTTTTTTGATCACTTAGAGCTTTTCGTCAATACCTACCAACTTTGTTACTCGTTACTACCACAAAAGGTAACAAAACTTGGGCTTGCGCATGTTCTGCGCTTTTGCAGAGGTATTATTGTGGCGTGTTTTCTAAAAGGGATGGAGGAAGTTGCACCAATCATCTTTTCGTAGTAAGCATGAAGATGCGCACAGGTGTCAATTATAAAAGAGTTGTCAGTGCCTCTGAGATCCCTAGTGTTCTAGTTGTACCGTAGGCTTTATAATGGGCCCCCCCCCCCTGAAAATGACTCATTTTCTTTCATTTCCACATTTCCATTGCTTATTCCTATTGTATTCTACATGGAACATTTTTTCTTTCCAGATGAGCCAAGTAATCCGCGTCCGCAATTGGGAATTTGCGCAGCTGACGAGTAAGTGTGAAAACGCTGTCAACGATGCATCACACAACACTGACGTTCATCCTCATGAACTCAGCAATCTGAACGAGAAACTAAGGGTTAGGCTAAGCGTTCACCATTTTTCTCTTTCCTTGCTTATCTACGTCAAATTCAGAATCTTCATGTTTCTTATGCGTGTCAGGTAGAGTTGCTTGCTGAGAAACAGCGAAAGGAGTTTAGGTAAGGACTGCTAGAGCTCTGAATCTGAATCTTGTGATCGTTTCCATTACAGAGATATGGTGGACACTTTGTACAATGGAGGCAGCATTACTGATGGCAAGGGCAGATCTGCAGAAGCCGCGGAGATGTAAGTGGTGGCCAAATCTCAACTTCGTTGATCGAGGAGTTGTCATTCTAGGAGACGTCCCACCCAAAAATCGGAGAGTGAAGAACCCGGTATCAATGAATGCTACACAATCTACTTAGGTAAGGCTGAATTCTCGCAAATTATATTTTTGCATCTTCGTATTCTAGGAGCGCAGTTGAAATCTATGCATAATGTTCGGTTGTTGACGGCAAAGTCGATGGTGGATCTTTGCACGCCTTTGAGGGTGCGCGCTTGTGATCATCCTTGCAAGTCTCTTTCTGTGCACTTTCAGGGAACTGACGTAGGTTCGTTATTGCAAATGTCTATCTCACTTTACGGGCGACAGCTCAGCGCTACAATACTGTTAGTGCCTAGCGATCCACTTTATCATTGTAGCGACGGCTCCAGTACGTTTTTCTCTTTGTTGAATTTTTCTGAGTTTTCTTATATATTTTTTGAAGTTTTGTTGATGTTTTCCATATGATTCTCGGCTTTGCTAATTTATCGTTTTTTTTCAAACTTTTTCGGTCGACACAATACTAGCACCTTTTTCTCTCATTCCAGGATTTGCTCAGGTATGCGAGCAGACGACAGAATTGCATTTTGATCCGTTGCCTGTACAATTGAAGGAAGTCATGGAATCGGTAGGCTACGCTGTTTATGTGTTTTTGCTTGCGTTATCCCTTTTCTTCATCTTAGACTATAAAAGCTAGTCAGTGGAGAGAGGAGACTGCTTCTGAACGCTCGAAGTCTACTGAATCCCCACAGTCGCATAAGAAATCTCATGAGACAACTCTAGAAGTTGGTGATGTTTATTCTACTCGTCATTCGAACTTGAGAGATGTACAGGTGTGAAGTTTTTAATCTCATCAGTTTCTATTATTTGAGTAAGCTTATTTTTTTAGCTCGTTTTTCATCTCGTTGCTGACGAATCTTTGAAAACTATGGATATCTCAAGCCGGTGATTATCCCTTCTGCATCTCATCGCTTCTGATTCGACTCGTTTTCAGGCATCCTTGCTTGAATGGAATCCGTAATATCATTCGTCTTACCCAGCGCCTGGGTATAACATCAATACACATTCCGTTGCTTCTGGTTGAGGAAGCATCTGAGGTGATTACTTTGGACTAGTCAACTCTTTGTTTGTTAGACGGTTTTTCTCTTCAGAATATGACAATCGCTTGGTGTATGAAGAGAGCTGAGATGGTTTACAAATGTGTGAAAGGTTACTTCATGGAGGTTGGTATCGAATTTTGTAATTTAACTATCCAACTTTTTTTTCTTATCAATGAATATGTATGATGATTTTGATCGAAGAATAGCATGTAGTCTTTGATATCTGGTACCGAAGTTGAAGTGTCACTAGGCCTAAGGGGACAAAATTTTTTGTTTTCCCTTTCCCCTACTGAGTTCTTGCACGCTATGACTCGTAGTGGTTTGAGTCGATGTTTGCACACATTACGTTTATCACGGAGAAGGGTGGTTTCATAGTGCTTTTTAAAACTATGAATTTAAAAAGCAGGATCGATAAATTTGTTTTGATTGAGCGAAGTAGCCAGGCATATCATTTATGTTAACGCAGTCTATTTATGCTCACTTTCCACGTTTTCTTTGGTATGCCCGAAGTTCTGTAATGGTTCAGTTCCCACTTTCATTCGATTCTCTTTCGTCCGTATGTTCTGGACCCATTGTATCAAAACTTTAGTTTTGAGTTGAGAGTGAATTTTCTTCCTCTAGGTGTGCGGGAGTTGTGGTGGAACTGCTGTTGGTGGTTTCACGAATGTTCCGCACTACAACATTCATTTTGTTCTGCCATCGGGCTTAGCGGATGGAGTGTATCAACAGATATCAGCCATGTTTCCAACAATTTTCCATTTGGTACCAAGTGTATCGATGCCAGCACAAGAGACATGATGTTGGAGGGGAATTGGCTATGCAAATATTTGACTTATTGATCATTTTTGTTTCGCATTTTAATATCATAATTTATTTTGTACCTTTGGTGCTTCTGTCTGTGATAACATGATAAATGTGCTCAGATGTTTTGTTTTTGATAATTAGTTGAAGGACATCCCGCCAACATACCTTTATCCTTTGCCGTAATTGTGTGGCCTTCATCGCTATCAATGTGTTTTCTCTGCGAAATGATACGTTCTTCACTGTCTATCTTGTCGTTCTCACCATGAAGACACCATCGACACGGTAAAGCAACGGAAACTGTTTCCGAACGGATTGCTCAATCTTCTCGCTCATTATGAAATATGGCAGAATTTTAGGTCACCATTCCGTTTAGTCGCTCGTTATCCGACTGAACGTCGACGTGCCCTTGCCGCGTTGGATTCAGAAGAAGAGGAAGAGCTTATTGTAGATTTGAGTGCCTTGGAATTACGGGTATACAATATGCGTTTCGATGCAGCTACTTCACCTACAGACAACATGTGAGCATATTTTCTGATTAGTTGATTGTTCCACCATCTTTTTATGTGGTTTCTATTTCTAATAGCGTTTCGATAAAGATTTTTTGATGAAAAGAGCGTGTAGCGCTTTAGCACCAATTGTGGATCTACCATCATGGGAAGTTCAATATCGCCTACCACAAAAGAAATAAAATGTGGGATTGGTTCCAAAAAATCAGAGACTTGTTGTACGCAATGTTTCACTAGAGTGCGAGCGATTTCATGTTTGCCCAGTTTTGATTCATTATATGTCTTTAACAGGGAGGAAACACCAGGCTGCGCCGATGCTGGAACGTTGATGTTTGGTGGTGAAAGCAAGCCTAGAAAGATCGAGGTGAGACATTTCCTTGAGTCAACGTTTAACTCATTGTGCTCATTTGTCTATGCTACTGTTCTGTTTTAGTACCTGACGTTTACGCCGGACAGTTTGAATCATATCGGACGACAAACTGCTGCAGAACTCCGAGAAAAGTACACCCATACCGGTCTAAACTATAATCTTGCTTTCAAAATGGTCAGTTTGGTCTTTCATCTGGCGTTCAATTCGTAAATAATCTTCTGTTGCAGATCAACAGCGACACCAAATTAGTAAAAACTGTCCTGCATAGTCATGGTTTCACACAAGTAAGTGCATTCAACTTCTTCGTTTACTGTGCTAGAATCCAATAATTATTTCTTTTTAGTGTTCACGCAAAAATCCTTCATTCAATCTGCTTTGGTGTGGATCTTCAGTGAAAGCAACACGAATGCGGACTATTCAGCCGTGGTGAGTTCAGAGTCTATTTATCTAATCTTTATTGTGGTTTTGTTGACATAACTGGCAGGATAAGAGTCGCTGAAGCAGCCCTATAAGGCTTGTAAGTCTGTTTAAATGTTTTTTTTGAACTTTCCTGCCTCCTACTATGAACTACTAGGTCATCAGAATCGATTTCTTGCAAAAATTGCAGGCAACGAATCAACCAGTTCCCTCGGTCTACAGAGCTTACCCGAAAAGATAAGCTTTATGACAATCTAGCACGATCAGCTGCTATATTCGGTGATGCATATAGTTTTGTAAGTTCCATCTGCTTTGACATTATCGCACAGCTTCAAATGTAAAAGTTCCAGGTTCCTGAATATTTTGTTACTCCACGGGATGTTTCATTACTGGAAACAGCCATGGAGCAATCGATGTCTGATTTCACTTATATTGTTAAACCTGTTAGTTCATCGCAAGGACGAGGAATTTTCTTTGCAAATAAGGTATTTTTCTTACTTTTTACTTCCCTCATTTTGCCTTAAAAGCAGTGTCCGGGCAAAAACTCGATTTTGAGATTTTGTGCTTATACGGGCCTATTCGCCATGCTGAATCCGAAAATCCACATTGGAAAGCGCGAAAGCGGCGAAAAAGGGCTCTAACACAGGAGGGAAATCAGCAGGTGGGCGGGGCTTTCCCCAGTGCAATTTCACGCTCCCAGCTCCCGGAGCGGTTTTCTCAATTCCGCTAGCCGTCCTAACATCGCTACCGGCCAAGTGCGAATGAGTGACTTGAAACCGGAAGCGGGAAGGTTGCTCTGGAAGCCGGGAACGTGAATTCGCAGTGGGGAGGACCCCGCCCACCTGCTCATTTCCCTCCTGTGTTAGAGCCGTTTTTCGCCATTTTCGCGCTCTACAATGTGCATTTTCGGATTCAGCGTGGCGAATAGGCTCAAGTAAGCACAAAATCTCAAAATCGACTTTTTGCCCGGACACTGCCTTTAAGTGAGTTTTCTCTGAATCGAGTTTTTATGCTTTTCGTGAGCATCAGTTTTTCTTTCAGCATCAAGAAATCCCTCAAAACGAACCACTGTTGGTCTCTCGCTATATCGAAAATCCGTTACTTATTGATGGACACAAGTTTGACCTTCGTATATATGTAGCTGTGACATCATTTTTTCCTCTTGTTGCTTATGTTTATTCGGAAGGACTGACCAGGTATGAAAACTCAGTGCATCATGTCGGTTTGTTCACTACAGGCATTCTAGAGTTGCGTCCGAGAAATACTGTAGCGAAGCAGATACAAAGGATGCATTTGTACATCTAACCAACTACTCAATTAACAAAAATAATTCACATTTTATTCGGTACGTTTGGCGTTTATTCACTGACATACTTTTTATAACTATATTTTTGGTCATGTATTTCGACGATAGTGAATTTTAGCAACGAAAGTATGGCATGTGAAGATTTTGGGCACAAATGGACGCTAGGAGCACTTCTTCGTCATTTGGAGAAGAAAGGCATTGATGCTAAAAGTAAGAACTCAATACATCCTTGTGATGTGCTCCAAAGTATTTTTTTCAAATTACTTTTTTTTCCAGTGTTGATGCTGCGAATAGAAGATATTGTGGTAAAAAGCCTACTTTCTGTACAAAATCGTATCACATCAGCGTGTCGTACCACTACACCGCATGTAGGAACGAATTTCGAATTATTTGGCTTCGATATCCTTGTCGATGATCAGCTGAAGCCATGGTTGCTCGAAGTCAATCTGTCTCCTAGTCTGTCATGGTGAGCTTGACTGCCAATATTTTTGTTGTAAAAATTCAGTTTTTTATGAGATTAGATGCTTTTATATTAGTTTCTATTTGATAATATTCTATCATCACCAGCTGTCACCGACGCGATTTGCTTTTTCTTTCGAGACAGGGCTAAGTAGGGAATTTTGTGGTTCTGAGGGACCTCCACCTTAACTTTCTTGAGAAGCTGATTTGGAATGTCAAATCTCGAGTGGGAGCTAGGGCCTATCTTTTTGCTTTTCAGAAGACAAACCTTAGCTTGACTAAAATAATTTAGTAATGAGAAGAGGGCTGTTGTGAGAGTAACAGAAAAGTATTCTGTATTTCATGGTTTTGTCGATCGGAGCATAAAATCATATTTTCCTTTGCTTAGAATCTTCTCTCCATTTCTCCCACCCCTACTCACGCCTGTTCCATGTTTTTTCTTCTCTTTTTCAAAGATACGTTTAATTTAGTGATGCTCCTTTGGACTCTCTTGTCAAAAGCAGACTTATTTGTGATCTCTTTAACCTGGCTTGTGTACCATTAGTGAATAGGAAGCTGGCTGGCATTCAGCAAATTCGTTCAAGCAAGGAGGACGAATATGGTAAGCCTTTTTTCAGTTTCTTTTTTGTTGATGCGATGACTGTAGTGGTTCAGACTCTGATGTTGATCAGGATTCTAAAAAGACCGAAAGAAGTTCAACGAAGAGAATCAACATTAAGGTGAGAATATCAGCAAGCTCTCCAGTCATCATTTGACCAAATTATAGCGTCGAAGGAATGCCCGATTAGCCTTTGCCCCGTCGCCATATGCTCCCGATCCTAGTATGCGCTTTATCACAAGACGCGTTAGGACCGAATTGTCAAGAAGAGGCGGATTTGTTCGAATATTCCCAAGAGAACATTCGCTACAGCTGTACAGGTCCGTACTGTTGCTCCATTTTATGATTTCTTTTTCTTTGTAAGGCGTTTGCAACCCAGTAAACAATTTCTGTATGTGCATTTGGCAGTTTCGAAAACTTCTCATCCAGATGTGTTATGGAGCGCATTGGTTCGGAAAATCGTGACGAACGCTTATATAACAAGGAATTTGGAGTTGGTGAAGAAGAAGAGAGTGATGAAGAGGATGAGAATGGCCTCGCGTCGCTATTTCATGATGCTATGATGGATAGTGCAAAAGTGAGTTTTGCTGGAAATTTTTTCCCTTAGATTTTTTCGTTCGAAATTGGAAATATCCGAGCATTTTGCATGGTTGTCGTGGTAGTAAAAATTGTTGCAGTATCCCTCGTTGGATTCAGTACCACCTCACTTACAACAAGTATTACGAGGTTGGCACGATGATGCGTCTGCCTACACTCAACGTATAACAAAGGAAGGAGAGAAGTATGCAGGTGGGCAGAAGACTTAAATGGAATAACTAGTTCTGGAAAAAAGATTTGGTTTTTTGAGGAATGATCTTGATCTGATGCACTTATGTAATAGTACTGGAAGAAAGAGAAGGTTAGGGAAGAGGGGGGGGGGGGGGAGGGAGGTGAAGGATAAAATTGTCGTGTCTTAGGCACATGGCAAGTTGATCCGCTTGAATCCGCTTGATTCGCTTGATCCGCTGGATCCACTACAGAATTGGTTAAATCAGTGACCAATGGCGAAGTGGACGTGGATTAAGTGGATCAAGCCGATAACCGCTTCGCTATTGGTCAGTTCACTGATTTGACCAGTAATGAAATGTATCAAGCGAATCAAGTGGGTTAACTATGGCGCGTGCTTTACACGTGGTAAAGTATGTTACTCCATCACTCTCTAGCAAGAATGAGTTTATGACCGATTAGAATTTCTTTGTGATGACCCTATGTGATCTTGACCAAGGCTTCAGCAATTCTGAATTTTGCCATTCTCATAGCCAGTTTTCAAGTAAACTTTCGATAGTTATCAAGGGAGAATTTCAAGTTTGCATCCTACTGTACGTCACTGTAGCCTTGCAGAGGCATTGTGCGACACAATCTTTGCAAGAGGCAAGGTTTATTTTCTGAAACTTCCCCAAAAGTTTTGGAGCATGAATTTGGATAGAGCAAAACCGCATTTACATTCTAGCTAAACTCCCAGTCGTTCGACCCTCTGCTCGTTTGCGCACTAAAAGCTACTCGGAATGGTACGAGATAAAGAGGGCCACGATGGCTGAAGCAAAATTGAAGCTTCAGCAGGAACAGGACGCTGAAGAAAAGGTGAAAGTGCAGATCATCCCTACACAGTGAGTTTTTGGTCCTTTCTTATTTATTGTGCTGCGTTTATCTTCATTGAGTCTTCTTAGGGAAGATAATAAGGAAAATGCGCCGGCATCGGCACGTGTATCTTGATAGTCGGAGGACCTCTTGTGGAGACAAAGTGCACAATGGTGAAATTATTCTCGTGCAGTCTCTTTTGGAACATTTCACTTCAAAAATTCTGTAATATTTTCTTTGTCTCTATCATAGATTTAGTTTTTATTTGTTTTGTGATAAGATTCCTCATCATAATTGCTTTCAAAATTTGTGACCTTTACCCGTGTGTCACCACGGGGACATTACTTTACTTCCTTCGTTGTTGTTGTTGTTATCATCCTTTCAATATCAGAATGCTTTCATCATTCCAATTTCAGGTTCTAGCCAGTCTTCTCTTTCATAATTAATACTAAAAATTCTGATGATTTGGAAAACTGTTGATAAAAATATGCATATTATGAATTTTTTCACAAGTGAGGGAGGGTTTGTAGAGGGAGGCACACGAGTGGATGAGGTCATCACTGGCTGGGTCACCAGTAGTAGTTACTGAATGCAGCGCTGCCACTGTTTTACTACCGGTAAGTGTTGCCCGTTTACAGCAGTTACCGGTTTAATCAGAGTTGCCGGTGGTACCACCCTTACTTGTTACCGGTGTCACCAGTTCTGCTGTACCGCAGAGATGGATGTATTCTTGATTGGACCACGGCACAATTTGTCTACGTGCATTCAGTCACATGACGAAAGTTCTTGAAATTCCGTCGTAAGTAAGGCACAGCGAACAGAGTCGATGCGGCGCTTTCCGCGCGAAGTTCCAACGTCGTTCCTGCATCGTGCCAGCGTCGTGATAGTGCCGTGCTAGTGCCGTGTCATACACATTGCTTCCGCATTGCTCAGTCGTCGTTCCTTGCGTGCTACCATGGCGCTGGAATCGCGCTGGCACCGCTCTGCCACGGGCAACTGGCGTAGTCTAGATTGGCAAAGTCAGGATTTTGCAGTTGGGAACGTCTATAGCCTTTGATTCAAATGGCTTGGCGGCTGGAAGGAGGGGCATTGTGACCTAATTAAGGCCGCTGACGCCCGCAACGCAGTCTGCGTTTCTCTCATGCGTACTCTCTGATCATTACCTAGCCTTAATTAGGTCACGCTCCCCGCCTTCCAGCCGCCAAGCCAGTTGAATGAAAGGGTAGCTATAAAGTTGCAAATCTCAAACAAAAATATTTTTATTTGACAAAAGCTCCACAATGGAAGAAAACACCGAGTCATCTGAGATGACGTGTCCTACGGAAATCCGCTAACAAAATAAACGGTCCCTTCCCCCCTCTGGAGCGCTTCAAGGGGCTCAATCATTGTTTGCACTAGAGTTTTTCTTGCAAACAACTCAAGAGTTTGGTATATCTATGCCACACCTTGTTTCGGTAAACTTGAGAAGCTGGTTATCTATGCCCTGCGGTCGCACATTAACGCTTTTCAGTTTGGCGGTTAGGTAAACACTCCTGAAACATGGGAGGTAAATATCCTAGGGCGAGGTTAATGTGGTTGTAGCACTAATGCACATTTTCTAGGAGGGCGATGAAAACTAGATTTACGGAATCTAAAACGAGAGTTAAGAACATGTTCGAGAGGCTGTACCAATAGTCTCGCCCACGTCAGGTCTTTTTTGTGAAAATTTTCTTTAGCCATCTTGTCGAGAATGAGATACAAAGGGAAGTTGAAAGAGTCAAGTTTTGAAGGAATTTTTCCGCAACACATAGATTTTGGAGGAGCTTTACCCTTCCTTGAAGAAGGAACTACCTGGAACATTAGCAAAAAAGTTGCGATAGATCTAGGCTGCCTGTGTTTTTTTTTATTAGTTTCTTACGTAGCGGAACACTTTTGTGTGTACTATATAAACAAATAAGTATATAAACAGCTTTACGATTTTTTCCGAAGCTATAAAAACTCTACTGGCATGACCTAAGTAAGGTTGGATGACAGCTCCAAGTAAATGAACTATTTGCAGATTGCATGATTTTTCCGGCATAGGAGCTTCGACGCTCCCTTAGCTAATGAATGAACGGAGAAAAAACAGACAAAGAAAGCGAAGCTATGAGAAAGATTTTCGCTTGAAATTATAGTTTTTAAAAGGCCATCAAACCTTTCAAATATTTCAAATTGTCTTCAGTAACTTCCTTAACCACTGAGCTTCTGATCCACACGTGAAGATTGACAAAATAAGGCACCCGTTTGCTAAAAACTCTTTAACGAAATAAATGAATTGTTCAGGTCAAATAGCTACCTCTTTGGTTTTTCTTGAAATGTGCTCTTAATACAGTCGCTAGTTTTGACAGACCAAATTTCCTCTTCTTCATGCAAGTATTTCTTTATGCACATAATTCACAAGAAAGTGCACCACAATACAAAAATAAAGAGATACAGACGAGTTAGGTATCGCCTTTTGCGAAAGAGATACTATAGGCATCTCCCTAAAAGTATAAAGCATGAAATACAGTATCTATAAGAGCAACTAAAAATGATTCGATCCTGATTCCTATTAAGGAATTCCAGTACCCGATGAGAGTTGTGTATATGTATCTGCAGTAAATCCCTTGGATTTCTATAACATTAGAATCCCAAGGCCCCAAGCAGCGAGTTTTTCTCGTATTCCGATCCATCAAGAGCATCTGTATCATACGAACGCAGTGCGTATTCTGCTTATCGGCAAAATCGCAGAAAAGTGTTGTTTACCTACGCAAACATTATGGGACGTCGAGATGTGCGCATATAGTTTTGAGTCATGACGATATTCCTGAAGTTTTTTGAGTCATAAAACTCCCTCTAACTTTTAGCAAGAACTTGAAGCAAGAAAGAGGCATGTGCTAATATGATGCCACTGTGTTGATTTATGACACAGGGGGGGGGGGGTGGAGGAAGCCATGAACGCAAGAATTTTTGGTTCAAGCTATACAATTGTGAAGGTAACATCAACCAAGCCATTTGGTCATAATTGGAACTTTCTAAAAATTTTGTAAACATCGATCAGTATGTAAAAAATCTTTCTAAGAGAGCTGGCTGACATGGCTTCCCAATGTGCAAAAAATTTACATTCTCCAATCTAAATTGAATAATCTCGATTTTTGAACAACACAGCTTTCGTTTCCGCTACTCCCCTAGTCTAAGAAACTCCTATGGTGCCCTTTCCTTCTGAAAAATTCCACCGGTAGATACCGTAGTATACTTTCCTTATACTATAGTGATATTGTAATCATCTTGTTACTATTTTATTTTGGAAATCTTCCTGCTGCAAAATCAAATCCTAGCTGAATCATAGCCATGCGTACTTCTTTGCATAGTGCACAAATATTTGCGAAAGCTTCGTATAGGAAGTAGGCGGAGCGCGAAGCCGGGTCGTGGAAGAAACACCTGGAGCAGTTCACTTGCACTACATCGTACCGTACAGTCTAGTTTCTGTTCTGCTAAACATGCTCCCACTGAGGGAAGGGGGGGGCTGCTCGAAAATATGGGGTAGGGTAACATTATATAAAAATTTGTCCATCAATTCTAAGATTTTGGCAGTTTCAAATTGTAAATCTATTTTGAGGCCCAAACCAATCAAGATGAGAAGCATTTTTGAAGTTTTTCATCCAGGATTCCAAAAACCACTGCTTGTTCGTACAGTATGTCAAACGGGGTACTGTAGGGATACTGTAGAGATACATCATCACATATTAACAAATTTGCGTGCGCTCTTCGTCCTCAGTTTTGTATTTTTCATCCAATTTATAGTTATAAAATATAGCAAATAATTTTGGTTGTACTATCTAAACCGATAAATAAATTCAAATGCTATTCCTTTAAAAATGCTTCATAAGTTTTTCATAGTTTCCTTTTTCTGTACTCCGCTTTATTTTCCCCGTTCCTCCCCATCCAGTCCAAATTTTTTTGATCTATTGCAAATTAGTTATTATGGTAGAAACTCTCGTGAGAAATTTTTTGAAACTATCAAAAAAGGTGTAGCATTTCTCTAGAATTTCGATAATCAACAATTTCGATACTTCAAGTTCCGGTTCGACTACTTTTTTCCTCAAACCAATAGCTTTGATTCTGCCCACTGTTTGTTTTTTCGTTTCTTTGTCGATTTATGGCAAATTGTGGTCTACAGATAGCGATTCAATAATTGGGACCTAATCTTCTTGATCCCACATTTACACATTTTTTTGTGGATCAACAAACAACTTGTAAAATTCTTCAAAGATGAAATTTTGCTTTTCTCTTTTCACTTTCTGAATCAATCATCTCTAGCATGCCTTGATTTGAAGAGAAAAGCGACATCGTCGTCGTAGATTTTTTTGTTGAAAGAAAAAAGTGATGGAATGCTGTTAGTACCGACTCTAGTCGCAGGTGCGAACCAGTTTTATGGATGTCTTTATCTCCGAATACAACACTCTTACTACATTTTGAAATATTACCCGCTTTGAGAAAAACTTTACGCAAAATTTCGTTTTTTTTTTGCTGCGGCATTCAAGGAGTTTTTAACCTTGAATTTACTAGCCCTTACTACACCCTCTCTCTCTTCACTGTTCAGATTTCTTCCTGAAACTTCTTAGGTCACGGAAGTGGCAAGATAACTCGTCCGAGTAAACATTGCTATGTATTGTGTTTTGACATGGAACCGAGAGAACTCGTATCCTCAGCTTCACATCAGTTCACACTTCCTGCAGATCCGGTCCTTGCTTTGAGGTTGTGTCGCACACCTGTACCTACATTTTTCACCTATCTTGTATTCCTAGTTTTACCATTGAATTATTTATAATCTGTAAAATGTCTGATAGATTGACTTATTCAAAAAATAAACCCAGGCATTTTTTCGAAAGTGAAGGTGAAAACATTAACGAGGAAAAAGGAATTAGTACCTATAAATTACAGTGGATGTTAAAAACATTGTAAACAAGAACAGTAGATAATAACCTTCAAAATTTTTAGAAAAGACACAGGTTTCTGCTCACCTCAATTGTCCTTTCCATAATTGAATGGTAAAGGAAAGAAAAAGAGAAGAAAATTCATATATTTATTTATCTTACAACTGCTTGATTTTATAATTTATTACAGACTTTCTACATTTCGGCTAAAATAGCATTTTCAGACTAATCGTCTTAATTCAAATTCATCAATATTCCGCAAAGAAAAAAATATTGGGTGGGTTCAGAAATTTGTTCGCTAGTTTTGTAAGAAAACTCATCCTTTCGACTCAATAAATTTCTTCAAAATTATATTCAACTGAAGAAGGAAATCATTTTTTTACAGCAGTACTCTTGTCATGATCTGGAACGAGAAAATTCGGAAGCTGACTGAAGAAATTCTCTTTATTTGCTTCCAACTCTCGATCTATTTCGTTTAAATTTGTGGAAAAGG